TCCTTCTTTAATGTTAAAAGGGTCAAATCGGCAGCATCGTGTCTATAACGAAGAGCACCGCTCGAAGTAGAAATAAAAAAAGTAGAAGTAGTGCCTAAGAATTTTTTTTTTCGGATGCCTGTCTTTCGTTATTACAGTACTTATCAGGGAGGTATCATACAGTTGCCATGGTATCTCATGCATTAGTTTTTGATAAGGGTCGGTAAAAAATGATAACTAGCTGCATCAAAAAATGTACTGTCGAGTAAGATCAAGGACACAAAAACAGATTTTCAGTTGTATGAATACCTATACTATCCTACCTATAGTGGCAATGAATGCATTTCCCTGGCATCTAGGGGCGGGGAGAATTCGGACTAGACCCCCTAGGGAGAGGTAGATTTGAAGGCTTATGCCTATTTAATCGATTTAATCTCTCTAAAAAATACATTCTTTTTTTCCCGACGAAATGTAAAGGGGATGAGGGTATTAATAAAGTTATTATTAATACTATTAAAGTAATAATCATTATTATCTATCCATCTATAATAATAATAACAGGCTTATACAGTGGTGTAGGTACTGGCAGTTCAGCCAGTGCGAAGCACTTGGGCCCGGGGCTTTTTGGAGCCCGTTTAAGAGGCATATATAGATCTAAAAATATAACTTTGAAAATAATTCCTATTTAAATTTTCCCCTCAGTAACATTAGGTTTTAGAGAATTATAGATTAGGCCTATATTCAGTACAATTTACCTGTTCGTGTCATCGAACATTATGAGTAGGGTGACTTATTACAAAAAAAACAAAAACAAAAACAAAAACAAAACAAAAAAACACATTGTACCATGAACATCTTATCTGTTGAATACAATCAAGGTTATTTTCTTCCATTATGTATTTACGAGAGCATCGTACCACGGTGCACTAAAATACTTTTTTCAAAGCGTATTTCCAAAGCAATTTCGTTTGATGTTTTAAAGTTGGTTGAACTATTATAGTGTGCACGTTTATGAATCACGTCAGGTCATCATACTTCGTGAACCTTTCCAATAGGCCTTTAAACGATAAAGTATAAATGACTTCATTGAATATATTTTGTGATCTTTAAAATGCTGTATGTTATAAAAAATTAGAATGTATGAGTATTGAGATTCGCCTAATTGTAGACCCCACAGAGCCCTGGGTCCGATCAGGTGCCTTTTACTGCCCGTGGCAATTATCTTGACCCTCGAGTTTATTTTATTAATTTGGTTTTATATGAAAAAAAAAATGTTTTGGATATGAAAAGGAGACGTACAAGACAAAATGGGAACAATAAAAGAATTGTTAATTTTATAAGTTTATAAGAAACATTTTGATTCCAATGCTCATTATTTCTTGCATTGATTGGTTTTAACACTAATGTAAAAAGGCATTGTCATCTTTGTATACTTATTTTATTTATGATAACTTAGCTTAGGCTTATAGTAGGCTTAGATATACAAACACCGTTTGGATATAGGCCTATTCTTGATACCAATCATATGAAATACCAATATAACAACAATAAGTACCGGTATATACACTTGAAAAAAATATTTAATTGTACGGCAGTATGCACTGCACTGGAATGTAGGTGAAAGTGACCCCACAAAAAATGGCTCCCAAATATCAATTTATAGAGGGTATTACAGTCACACCTATTGCACATAATGTACAGATATAATATTTTGGTTTTTAAAAATATAAATCCCATTTGAAATTTTCCTCATCCTTATTTTGTTCTTAATTTTTAAGCAATTTCAGCCTCAGTGTTCTTATAAAATGTGTTCTTATAAAAAAAAAAAGAAAAAAAAAGTCTATTATAGTTATAGAACGGACATGCAAGAAAATGTACACATAAACTAGAGGGGATTTCCAACAATCGTTCATCACTTTTTTTAATGTTTGACCCCAGGGTTAAACACCTACAAAACAAAACAGGGGTCACCTACACCTACAAAACAAAACTTCACGACACAACTAATTTTAATTTTGTGTTTATTATTTGTCCCGAATTATAATTTGTATTTTTAATGTATTACTAGAGATAGGTCTCTGAATTCAATAATTATGTGGATATTCATTGTACTACTGTTATTTACTATCAACTATTGCCCCGGCGTCACTAATTTGGATCAAGACGGCACGTACGAAATTATCTCCAATCACTTCCTGTGCACATGACAATCGGGACGCTACGTACCTTTCTCATTGTGTTGACGTTGGGAACGTTTTACATTCCTCATGCACGATAATACTTTCTTCCTATTTACTATTTGTATATGCATGAAATACTAATTATAGTTCCGTGCATTTTAGAATTCTGAGAATATTCATCGTAATTGTTATTTTTTTAAAAGAAACATCGTACCGACGTCATCTAGTTTTCTACACTAATTTAAGTGAATGGGTAGACTTGCAGGGTCTTTGTCTAATTATAAAATTTATATCACCATAAGCTATAAAAATGTGTAAAATATAAGCATGAATCTGTAATTACATCAGTGGCGTATCTACTCCCCGCCCACTAAAAAATTACTCTGACTTACATGGCCAGATGAATGAAAATACTCAATCGATGTGCCACCAAATCGTAACCAGCCTTCGCCATGCCCTTACGATGTCACCGGGGACGCAACTGCCAAAAAACTATTTTTGGCAGCGAAAGGACGCTACCAATAAACAATCAACAAACTACCGGGTTTCTGGGTTGATTTGCAAGGTACTACATGGCCCAACTTTTTTTTTTAATTGGTAAAAATCGCACACAAATCATACGACGTCACTGACAACGCCGGGGACGGCAACTCGATTTTGAGATTAATTTTCCGAATACAGTTATAGTAATAGTTATTAGTGGCGGATCCAGGGGGGTTCAAGAGGTTCGGACGAACCCCCCTCTGTGTGAAGAAACGTAACAAAATACTGTGTCCTTGCTTACAAAACGCATGCTAACCTACCTGGGCATAGGTTGGAAGATCAGACAAACTGGTTAGCCCATCTAGTTTTCAATTAAATAAATTATACACACTGTTTTTGGTTCGCCGTCGTAATAATGTACGAAAGTGCGTTCTTCAGGCCTATTGGTTCATCGATCCATGGAAGAAAGACTGCATATCTAACTACTCAATGTTGTTGGAATATAATAATATATTGCCTGTCTTTGATTTTTTTCCCTCTATGACCTAAAGGTCATTAAAAGACTCCTCAGAAGTCGGGAAAGCTCATTTCCGGCCATCTAGGAATCAAAATTTTCTCGGGGGAGGACCTCCCCTACTTTCATTTTGGGGTTTTTTGAAAAACATTTAGGATAGTTTCTTTTGAGAAACTAAGCTCTCAGACAAGGGCTCAGTGAAATAAGGAAGGCCCGCCACTCGCGGTCCTTCTGACCGAGCAGAGGGGGGGGGGAGGTTGTTTGAGAAGAGGTAATCCTCCTCCCTCATGAGATTAAAAAAAAATAGGGACTGATCTGGATGGCCAGAAATGGCACTCTCAGACTTGAATATAGGCCAACTTTGTTGTTAAAAAGGCCTAAATGTTGATAAAATTGTTTATACAGTTGTACCCCTTTGTAGAAACCATCTCAAACTCAACTCTATAAACACACATTTCATTCATTGGGCCTATTTTTTATTTTCTTTTGGTCCTAATGCTTGACAAGCTCTGTGGGGGGGGGGGGCTTTGGGAGCCTTGACCTGTCCGATGGCCGGGGATT